GGTGGAGGGACGGGGTAACTGGGTGATGGACATTGGGGAGGGCATGTGTTGTAATGAACACTGGGTATTATATAAGACTGAAGAATCACAGACCTCTACCCCTGAAACAAATAATACCCAGTTTAAAAAAAATTTTTTTTTAAAGTTACTGTGGCTGTAGAATATTTGCATAAAACAATGAATGAACTTGGTCTAATATAATTTTCTTAGACTGGATTCCCCACAAATTTGGGGAAATGTGATTTATTGAAGGCATGGTCTTCAGGAAACAAGCCTCTAAGGGAGAGCAGGAAGCAAAACAGGAAAGGGGAAATTGCCAAGCAAGAGCTCAGCTAAGGCTGTTCTTGGTCTGATGTGGTGAGGGAGGTGGCCTTGAAATGAAGACCCTATTGTAGAGCTGTCCCATGATGAAACAAGGAACCAAAAAGAAGGCAGAGGAACTGTGACATAGGAAAGAGAATAAGGAGAAGTGACCACTAAATGCAATGCAGGATTCTGGACTGGAAACAAGAAAACAAGAAAAAACAAGAAAAAAAAACAGAAATAAAGGACATTCTTGGAATAACTTGCAAAGTTTTAATAAGGACTGTGAGTTAGATAAAAATTGTATCAAAGTGAAATTTCCTAATTTTTGATAATTATACTAGAATTATGGAAGAAAGTGCCCTTGTTCTTAAGAGAAACACACTGGCATATTTAAGGGTAAATGAATTTAATATCTGCAACTTAAACCTTTCAAATGGTTGAGGAAAATAATGTATACATACATAGAGGAAGAATAAGCATGAATGATAAAGGAGACAAACGAACTATCTGGGTAAAAGGTAGATGAAAATTTATTATACTATCCTTGCAACTCTCCTAATAAATCTGAACTTATATAAAAATAAAAAGTTATACAAGAAAGAAAGAAAATGGGTTTATCCCAGTAATGCAAAAGTGGTCTAACACCGACAGTTCACCATATTAGATTAAAGGAGAAAAATTCCCATAATCATTTAAATAGAAGCAGAAAATAAATCACTGGACAAATTTCAACATTCATTCATGATAAAACCTCTTAGCAAACTAAGAATTGATGGAAATATCCTTAAAAATTGATAAAGGTTATCTACCAAATGCTTACATTTTTATATCATTATTTATTTAATGTTTCAAATTTTAGTTATTTAGTAATGCTACAGTTTAATGGGCAGCTTTTATTGGGCACAGAGTACAAACTTGGTTCTGTAACAATTCAGTTACCAGGTGGGATGATGACCAATCCTCTCCTTCCCCTACATCACCCCCAACTTCTGGGGTGACTGCCAACAGGGACAAGTTCCATTCCATCCCACACAACAGCATAGAAAGTGGCTCTACATGTTGCCTTTGCTTGTCTTTTCACTCTGTGGTGCTTTTTAAAAAGTTAATTGTAGTATAGATAAATGTCTTGATTTTTTTATGGTTTATATTTTTTATATTTTGTTTAAGAAACCTTGAGATAATAAAAATGTTACACTGTCTTCTGGAAGCTTTTTGGATTTTCTTTTCACACTTATGTCTTTTATCCATCATGAACTAATTTTTGTATAGGGTACAGCAACTATTAGAAAACAGTAACATTTTAGGGTGCCTGGGTGGCTCAGTCATTAAGTGTCTGCCTTCAGCTCAGGTCATGATCTCAGGGTCCTGGGATGGAGCCCTGCATGGGGCTCTCTGCTTGGCAGAGAGCCTGTTTCTCCCTCTCCCACTCCCCCTGCTTGTGTTCCCTCTCTCGCTGTGTCTCTCTCTGTCAAATAAATAAATAAAATCTTTAAAAAAATTTTTTAGAAAACAATAACATTTTAAAATACCATTTATAATAGCAACAAAAAAATATCAAATATCTAGTAATAAATCCAATGAAATATATTCAAGACCTCTACAGGAAACCTATAAAACCTTAGTAGGAGAAATTAAAGAAATCAAAATAAATGAAGAGATCCATGTTTATAATTAGAAAGTGAAATATTATTAAGATATCAATGCTCCTTCAAACTGATTTACAAATTTAAAGCAAGCCAATAAAAAATCCCAGTAAAATTATTTTGTGGAAATTAACAAGCTGATTCTAAACCTTATATGGAAATTCAAAGAACCTAGCATAGGTTGTATAATAAATGTATAATAAAAAACTTGTATAACAAAAAGTTATAGGACTTATAATACCAGATATCAAGACATACCATAAAGCTACTATAATTAAGATGGTGTAACACTGACAAAAAGACACTTGCAACGATGTGGATGGAACTAGAATGTATTATGCTAAGCGAAATAAGTCAGTCAGAGAAAGACAAATACCATTTGATTTCACCCATATGTGGACTTTAAGAAACAAAATAGATACACATAGGGGAAGGGAAGGAAAAACAAAATAAAATGAAAACAGAGAGGGAGGCAAACTATAAAACACTCTTAACTATAGGAAACAAACTGAGGGTTGCTAGAGGGGAGATGGGTGGGGGGATGGGGTAACTGGGTGATGGGCATTAAGTAGGGCACTTGATGTAATGAGCACTGTAATATTATATGCAACAGATGAATCGCTAAATTCTACTCCTGAAACTAATAATACAGTTTATGTTAACTAAATTGAACTTAACTAAAATTTTTTTAAAAAAACAGATAAATAGACTAATGGAACAGAAGAGAGTCCAGAAACAGACCCACACGTATAGTCATCTGATTTAAGAAAAAGACACCACTGTAATTAAGTGGGGAAAAGATGGGTTTTTTTCAATAAATAGGAAAAATAAAACTTGACTCTTACCTCACACCATACATAAAAATTAATCTGAAATGTCTCATAGACCTAAATATGAAAGAAAAAGTAATAAAAGTTCTAGAAGAAAACTGGAAAATAGCTACATGACTTTGGGATAGGCAAAGTTTTCTTAAACCAGGACTCAAAAGGCACCAACTAGAAAAGGTTGATAAAATGAACTTCAAGAAAATTAAGAACTGTTAATCAAAAGACACCATTAAAATAAAATAGTAAAAATGGTAAAATTTTACCCATTAAAATAGTAAAAGGGTAAGCCACAGACTGGGAGAAAATATCTATAATACATATATTTGACATAGGACTCATATCTAGAATATATAAAGAATTCCTACATATTAATAGGAAAAAAAACAGATGGCCCAGTTAAAAATGAGCGAGAGAGTAAGACATTTCACAGAAGAGGATACCAAAACAGCCAATAAACATATGAAAAGATGCTCAACAACCTTGGTGATCATAGAAACACAAATTAAAATGATAATGAGATACCACTGTATACCAGTTTGGCTAAAATTAAAAACCCTGACAATACAAGTGTTGGTGAGAACATAGGGCAACTGGAAATCTCCTACATTGCTAGAGTAATATAAACCTGGTACAACCACTCTAGAAAACTGTTTGGCACTGCAAAATATACATATACCCTATTCCAGCAATTTCACTCCTAGAACATATACTCCAAACAAATGAGTGTTTATATCCACCAAAAGACTTGTACAAGAATGTTCATATCAGGGGCGCCTGGGTGGCTCAGTCGTTGAGCATCTGCCTTCCGCTCGGGTTGTGATCCCGGGGTCCTGGGATCGAGCCCCACATCTGGCTCCCTGCTTGGCCGGGAAGCCTGCTTCTCCCTTTCCCACTCCCCCGCTTGTGTTCCCTCTCTAGCTGTCTCTCTGTCTCTGTCAAGTAAATAAATAAAATCTTAAAAAAAAATAATAATGTTCATATCAGTATTATTCATAATAGCAAAAACTGGAACAAACTCAAATGTCCATCAACAGGAGAATAAATAAATTGTGGTACATTCAGAGAGGGAAATACTACATAGCATACAAAAAAGTGAACCATCACTACTTAGAAGATTATGGATAAATCTCACTAACATTATGTTGAGTGGGAAAAAAAAGGCCAGCCATGCTGATTCCATTTATATGAAATTCAAAACCAGACTAAATAAATCTATGGTGACAAAGACCAGAGTATTGGTTACCTTTGTGGGGGTACTGACAGGAGAGGTACAAGGGAGCTTGCTGAGATATTGGAAATGTTCTGTATCTCGATCTGGGTGGTGGTTACATGGATGTATATATATGCAAATATTTCAACAAACTGCACAGTTAAAATTTGTTTACTGCATATAAATTATACCTTAATTAACAAAATAAACTACTGACTGTTAAAAAATTATAACGAGTTTTGTAACATTAAAACAAAAGTGGGATTTAGGAACTAGGAGGTAGAGAAAGGCCGTAGAAGAGCTTGCCCCCACCTTCTGCCCTGTTTAGCTCAGTGCAATGGCAGGTCCAGCTGTTACTGTCTGGAGGCTAAAGGAGCCACAAGGAGCCTCTTCTACGTTATTTCTCATGTTCACAAAATCTGGGTGGGTCCCCTCTCTTGGAACTAGATGATCCCTGCAGATGGTGATCAGCCAGACAACTGTGTAAATATCCAGCCCTACCTGACAGACAACAAATGATAGCGACAGAAACGAACACACAGCAGGGCCTCCAGGAACCCTAGGCAGGGGGCATGTACTACAGATGCAAAGTAGGCATAATTAGGAAGGACGCCATCACTGGATGCTTCTACCAGCCACAGTGGCCTGCCAAAGGTTCAAATAGGTTCAAAGATAAGCCCAGCAGCATAAAAGATCCAGATTCCAACTTTCAAATTCCCTAATGCCCTCGGCACAAACAACTGAAGAAAAAGTATTGTTATGTTTCTTCTCCTCCCTGCTCAAGGCCACGACCAACCCTTAGGGAAAAGGTTGAGTCCAAGCCTCTGCCCATCTATAATCGATCCATCCACTCCACAACAGAAACTGCTGTTGCTGCGCAGGACCCTGGCTGCGAGCCAACTGCAGCATCCAGACCACACAGGGGATCCCAGGAGAAGCTTAAGCCAAGAGGACACTGGAACTCTGGCAAGCTCACCTTGGAGAACAGGGTCACGATAAGCTGGAGCGTCTTACCAGTTGCAGGATGGATGTGCAGAGGTGCAGGCAGCGACTGAGCAGCCGCAGAGCCTTGTGGTTCTCCTTGGCTAGAGCCCGCTGCAAGTCCAGCAGCTCATAGCATCGATCCGACTCTTGGGGGAGCCAGGATACAGAGCGCAGCTCCTGCAAAAGCCTGGGATCAAGGGCGAAGCTCATCAGAGCCGGCATCTCAGCCTTCTTTCCTTGAATACCTTTGACCTCTTTCTAGCCCAGCTCACCTCAGAATAAGCAAAGGTCAGGAAGGGTCATAATATTCCTAGTGACCTCCAGTGACAGCTTCCTCTTGGAGAGCTCTTTGGAAGAATTCAAGCTGAGGAAGTTGCTGGCTGGGGAATTCTTTGGGAAAGGCCTGGGGTATGTGCAAATGTTAATACTAAGTGACCTTTCTGCTAGGAGAGGGTCAAATGATCCCAAAGTCTGACTTAGAAGGAGAGACTACACAGGCTTCTTCCTTGGAATAGAGGAAGCTAAGGGCCCTAAAAGTCTAGGTGGACAGATGAGTTTTAGGATTAAAGGTGGTGAACCTCCAACTTCTCCATGGGCTATCCCTGAGAAAATCTGCCTCTGTTATCCACTACCACCCCACCCTCTCCGAGAACTCTACATCTCTAAAAATACCTGAAGAAGACGAAAGACCCCAAATAAGCAGAGGATGATCATAATGGGTGTCATTTTATTCGGTACCTATTAAGAGGCATTTAACATGGTATTTTATATTTACAATCTCACTTTATTCTCACCATAGCTGTGTAGTAGAAATCTTCATCCCTAGTTTTCATATCAGGAAATGAGGCTCAAAGAGCAAAATCCCTTGCTAGTATTCAGGATTTAAATTCAGATCTGTCCAGCCTTCAAGCCCTCATGCCTTTAATTATACCATGATGATTAGGCTAGACTGGAGGATCCCTAGAGCAAAGGTTGCAAACTGGTAGGCTGTGGGTCAAATTCAGATTGAAAATGTTTTCATATGTTCCACTAAGAGTTGTCCAACCCACTGTTTTAATAAAAATTTGAGTTAACTAGGTAAAATTAAAGCACTTTAAAACAAAATGCATATTTCCAGGAAATCCTGAAAAAAAAAATAAGGCAGCTGGCAAGCTGTACCCATATTCCCAGTGGTAACAGTCAGCTGGAACTGAGTAGTGACTGTCCTACTTACATGTAGCCTCCAGATTGCATTCCCCACAGTCCCTAATGTACTGCACCTAACCCACTGCATTTCTTCCAGAGCTCCCGCACAGGCCCCATAGACATTTGAGTTTGCATCTTCTGTCAGAGAAGATAATTAGAAGTGGCTGAGGAGCATAGGAAAAGTAAAAAAAAAGTACTGAAAATAGGAATAACTAAGTCCCCCACCCCCCCAAAAGAATCCAAAAGATACATGGAAAAAGTAGAGACTTTGGATTCACACACTGAAGGTATATCCCCAGATCCAATAGTTAATAATTGTATGATCTGGGGCAAGTTGATGTGGGGAATACACAATTGCAAGAAGATATGCTCAGAATACATTATTCAGAAAAAAAACCAAACCTGGTTACTTAACAATATGTCAAGTATGACCACATTTGTATATAGGTGATAGAAAAAAAGACTAGAAGGATTTGCAACAAAATGTCTGTCGTGGTTAGTTATGTGTGGTTAAGATTAAAGATTTTTTTTCCTTCATGCTTTTTTGTGTTTTCCAAAATTTCTACAAGGAGCACGTTAATACTTTTTGTCAAAATAATTTTAAAACATCCATTGGCAGTGCGTTTTGAAGACCCTACCTGCTAATATGCAGAAGCCCAGCTCCAAAGTGGGGCACAGCCAAGAGCAGGTGCTTCCCGAGGAAAGTCCGGCACCGGTGGAGCCCCTGTAACGTCACGCTCCTCTTCCAACTACAGATCAGAGGGCAGGGACATGCTATTGCTCCCTGCAGCCCTTGTCCCCAAACCCCATACCAGCACCACCTACCGGGTCAAGGCCTTGTATAAGAGGCAATATTTGAAGAATGGAATGGACTGGAGCTGCTGCCAGAGGACAGAGTGGCGGTGCCAGGTGCCCAGCGTCATTGTCTCACTGCCCTCCACAGGATGCACATGCAGGATCCCAAAGGGAGAGAAGATGTAGTGCTCAGGGTTCACCTTCTTTGGTGGCACCACCATCAGGCTATAGGGCCTTTAAAAAAAGAGCTCTGATCAGCAGGAGCCCTGGGAACTTGTGCAGGCTTCAGGAAGGGACCAAAGAAGAGAGAGCAGAAACACGGAGGCAGGGATGAAGGCAGAGGAGAGTTGCAAGAGGGGAAAGAGAGCAGAATGATGTTCAAACTAAAAAAAGGAAACAGATATTTTGTTAAAGATTTTATTTATTTATTTGAGAGAGAGAGCGTGCGTGCAAGAGAGAGAGCACGAACAGGGGGAGAGGCAGAGGGAGAAGCATACTCCCCACCAAGCAGGGAGCCTGGTACTGGGGTCATGACCTGAGCCAAAGGCAGCCGCTTAACCGACTGAGGTTAAATATTTAAATATTTAAATATTTGTTTGAGGAAACAAATATTATTAAGAATAAATGGAAGCCAGGGGTACCTGGATGGCACAGTCAGTTAAGCGCCCGATTCTTGGTTTCAGCTCAGGTCGTGATCTCCGGGTCGTGACACTGAGCCCCAGTGTTAAGCCGTAGTGTGGGCTTCTTGCTCAGTGTAGTCGGCTTGAGTTTCTCTCTCCCTCTGCCCCAGCCTCTGCGCACTCACACACTTGTGTGTGCTTTCTCTTCCTCTCTCTCTCTCTCAAATAAATAAATCTTAAAAAAAAAAAAAAAGAATAAATGGAAGCCAAAGATAGAGGAGAAAAAAGAAAAAGGCACCTAGCCAGTTCTAAGGCATTCGTATCTCCAGATCCAGATACTTTACATCTTATCAAATCTAAGATGCCATCAGTTGTAAGCTGCAGCATTCTTTTTTAATGAAACACTAAAATTTAAAATGCTGCCAATGTGATTCCACCAATTCGTAAGATGCATCACAATTTCAGAGATGTTAAAATGTGAGAAAAAGTACATCTTAGAAATGATAAAATATGTATATCTCTAGGTACTGAAATAACACACAGAGATCATTAGGGGGTGCTCTTTGGAGTAAATGAGAATGAGGAAAAGCAGGGGGTGACTAGAAGGCTAGACACACACAAATCAAGAGGAAAACTGCACCCTAGAGAACCAGACAAGTGCCTCCAGAGCCATCTTAAAATCCTACTAAGTTCTCTTACTTCGGCACAATGCACCTACATCCCACACTAAGTGGCATTTATATGCAGCTATACAATAGTATCTAGTTGCAGGAGACTAGTTAGCATAATGCTATGTTTGGGCACATTCAATAAAGCAAATTTATCCATTTTTATTTTGCAGTTTTATTTTCATAACTTGGAACCAATAATATTTTTAAGTATTAAGTATATTTTAGAGCCCTTTAAAAGCTATTATGTCTCAGGTCCTATGCCTATAATGCCTAAGAGATAAAATGGCCCTCCTCTATCTCTTCTCTCAACTTTCTAGAATACATTATTAAGCAAATGACTTAAGAGAATTTAGATAGAGAGGTGCCTGGGTGGCTCAGTCAGTTAAGCGTCCGACTGTTGATTTCGACTCAGGTCATGATCTCACTCAGGGTTGTGAGATTGAGCCCTGCGTCAGGCTCCCAGCTTTGCGGGGAGTCTGCCTGAGGATTCTCTCCCTTTCCCTTTGCCTATCCCCCGGCTCATGCTCTCTCATGCACTCTCTCTCTCAAAATAAATAAATAAAATCTTAAAAAAAAAAAAAAAAGAGCGTTTAGATAGATACCAGAATGAACTCACTAAATCAAGTCATATAAAAGCTTTGTTTCCTTTCTGACAAAGTGACTAGATTTTCCCAAGTACCCTTTCCCCCAAACTATTTCTTCTGAAGTAAAGAGGAGTTAGAACTTTGTCCAAGGTAGTTAAGGGAAAAATATAGGACTTAAAACCAAATCTACCTGACTCAAGCCACCCCTCTTAACCACTGGGCTTCTTCGATTCCCACAGGATAGCCTCCTATCCCAACTGATCCCAGGCTCTCCCAAGGGATCCTTCCCCTATGACCTTTCTAATGAACACTACTCCTTCTTTTTTCCTTTTTTAAAGTTGCTTTTTTCCTCTTCTTCTCATTTATGATTTTATAGAGTTTAGTTAAACCATTTATCAAGTTTCCCTTCTGTCCAAGCACTGTGTTGGAGATGAGGACAGAGAAATAACTACTACATAGTCCTTGCCCTCAAAGGGCTCAGATCAGTTAGAGTATTAAGCGATGCTAGAGACTATTCACCTGCTTCCAAAACATTGCAAACTCTATGCCTTAATGAAACACAGCAAGTTCTATACTGAACTCATCATTTACTGCCTTTAAATCTGTTCCTACTCTGGATCATTCATTCATTTATTCATTCAACAAATGTTACTGGGTCTCTACTCTATGCCAAACTGTTCTAAACTCAGGATACATTGTTAAACACAACAAACAAAAATCCCTGCCCTGATGATAAATGTAATAAATGAGAGGGGAAGAAAAGCAGAGGCAAAGGAGGTTGGCAGTGCCAGGGGAAGGTGGAGGGTGAAGATGGGACAGTTGAGCAAAGGCTCTAAGGAAGTAAAGGAATAAATTCCTTTCTGAGTATGAATCAACATCTAGGAAAAATACCAATATAACATTGAATCTTAAATATATTACAATTGAAATAAAAAATGTAATAAAAAAATCTAGGGCAAATACAAGAAAAATTGGGCAAATTCAAACACATTGAAAAAAACCCTGATACTCGACAAATAAACAAAACGAAACAATAAATGCCAAGGTTCTGCTTTTACTGATGGTACAACTAGAAATTTGGAACTAACACCCTCACTTGAGAACAACTAGAAAAAGGCAAAATAAGTGAATAAAATATGAAAATCATCTGTATGAACACAACAGAGAACTCGAAGCTAAATGCCCTGGGCTCTGGGTTGGGACCCTGGTGACATTATAGGTTGAAGCAGAAAACACATCCCTCCTGGGTGTGGGCCCCAAGCTGCAGCCTCTGATCTTTGGCTGTCTGTGCCTGTGCAAAGCTCAACTCCTCTTCTCAGTCTTTCAGGAACAGATAGTGAAACTGACACACAATTGCTGATACTGGAATCGACAGGCATCTCTGTTTGGGGAAAAGCACCACCAAATGCTAAAGACACTTCACTGGGTTTCCTTCTTTGGCAGATGTTGGTCCTATAATTATCCACTGCCTTTTTAGTTCTCTTGCTCATGGTTTCTTGTCTCTCTATGTCTAATTATCTTTGATGGTGCTGCTTCTCTGATTATGATGGAGCTGATAGTTTCACGTTCTAAGCTTGTAATTTTCTCTTGTGTAAGCTCTCTGCCACAGCCAGTAAGCACCCCATCCCACATTGACACCATTACCATTACCTCCAGTCAGTCAAGTGTGGTGGCGCCTGGGTATCAGTAGGTAGTTCATCACATTCAGCCACAAGTGATAATTTAATTAGTCTTGATGTCACTACATGTCATGGATTCCTAGTATCCTATATCCCATTAGCACAGAGTTCAGTACTGTTCAAGGTCAAAGACATTGAGAAATCAATCTCAGAATTCCATATTTGAAGTTCATTTCCTTTCATGAGATCAGTAAGGGTCCAATCAGGAAAACAGAAACCAAACTCGGCATTTCAACAAAGTGAATTTAACAGACAGCATTTTTTTTTTAATGGGTTGAAGAAATGAAAAGCAAAAAGGGAACACTGAGATAGCACAGATACAATAACCACAGGAATCGATGCCAACTCTAGAACTAGAGGAACAAAGGGAAGGAACTGGATTCTCAGAAGCTCTGGGCCTGGAGGAGGGGCTTGTGGAGTTGGGATCTGGATTTGTAAGGAGATGCTGCTGGGCTCCTACTGGTACCGAAGGAGTTTGGAGGAGGGGCCATGCAGTCAAGATGCAGAACTCTGATGGGTAGGTGCCCCCCAGCTCAGAATCATGAAGAAGCTAATTCAGAAGTGCCTACTGTCGCCAGGGTGAAGGACCGGTACTGACAGAAAGAGCAAGCGAGGGAAAGAGAAATACCCTTCTCTTATCTTGCTGTCCAGTCTCCTTCTAACACCCTCTATTAATCAAACCTAAACAGGTGGTCAGCTGAAAAAGGAGGAATAAAGTTTGCAGAGTCTCAGCCCCAGTATCTCGAAGCAGGGAGAGGAGAGGAAAGTTAGAGCCAAAAGACAATTGCTTAACAACTGGCACAATGCTCTCAGTGAAAATATGTTAATGAACTGATTAATGAATGCATGGATAATACGGATCAGTAGGGCTACATAAACTCAGGAGAAAGAGAGCAGTGTATGCAGGAAATAAGGCTTTCTGGGAGGATATACGATGTACGTCTTAAGAGCATGGACTTCTGAGTTAAGACAGTCCTAGGTTTGTCTGTTTCTACCACTTACTTTGTGACAAGTTACTTAACCTCTTTATGCATCAGGGCACTCATCTCATATATGGAAATAATAATAGCACCTACCTGGTAGGTGAAGGTTAAGTAACACGTCATGTGTTTATTATTATTAGCACAATGCCTGGAAAAACTTAATTAATGGTAATTGTTGTTATTTCTGGGAAGAGATGGGACTTGAATCAGGCTTTAAAAAATATGTAAACTTTAGAGCTAAAAGAAGAAAATGAAAGCCTCCTGAGTCATGTGGAAGGAGGAGAGACTTGTTTTTATAGCCCCAGGGATAAAACTAGGACCAGAAGGTAGAAGTTAAAAGAAAGCAGATTTTGGTTCAGTCTAAGGAAGGGGATACCCTGGCAAACTCAAAGCTTTGTCTCACTATAAAGATTCAAACACCTGACTCCTGTATTGGAGTTGGGAGAGACAACCATTAAATTCCCTTCTGAGGCTATGACCACATGTTTCTATCCTCTTAGGAGAGAATAAAGAAGACAGAACCAAAAGTAGAAGAGGACGACTAAAACCAAAGGTTGTGAGAGCAAAGGGGAGCAAAACAGAGGTGCAGAATGGAAAGGAGGAGGCTGAGAAGCGAAGAGGGAGGGAAACTGGAAGACAGAGGAGAGGCAGCTAGAGAGGAGGAAGGACAGGAGACAGCATGGATGGAAACCAGGGAGTGGTCAGAGTAGAAGGGGTCAGGACACACCTCTTACCTAAAGTACCGGCTGGGAGCTACATTGAGATAGAGGAAGTGGATCTTCTTCAGGTATCTCTCTGTCTTCAGAATGGTCTTCACCTGGCTACCCAGGAGGGAAGTCTGAGGTGAGAAGCTAGTGCTTCTCTTCTGGAAGGTCTCCTTGCCAGGAACTTCTGAATCAAGCTGAGGCCTATACAATAAAAAATCAGGAGAAAAGAGACCAAGCAGGAGGTCAGGTTGGCACTGTTAGCCAGTGAAAGGAGAAGCTAGATCAGGTGCCTAGGAGGGCGTGATGTGGTCTTGCCAGAGCCTGTCTACCACCTATACCCACAGTACTCACATACTGGGCAAATATAGTCAAACAGCTATATTCACACAGACCTATGTATGAACAACCCCTCCCTTTCTGATACATGAATAACCATTCTGGACTTAATGTGATTACTATGAAGTCAGTATTACAGAATACTGAATAAAAGTAATAGGAAAACTTTGTTTTCCCAACTCATCACCTTGCAAGCCCACAGTCCTGGATTTCTCCTCCATAGGAACCTTCCTAAGGTTCTAGATCTATCTTTGCCCCATTATGCCTGCTTTCCAACTCTGCATGATCTCTTTGCCTGTGACTCTTGCTCTTCCCCCATCACCACCCAACTTCTAGTTTCACAGCCTTTCCTTTCCAGTCAGGATCCAATGGTGCATCCTTCGTCCCCCTCAAGCCTGCACTGGTGCTCTCAATCTTCTCACCTTTCCAGAACACCAGCCAACAAAATTGATATGAAAATTAATTATCCAAGACACCAAAAACTAATCACCTGGACTAATAATTCTGGTTGGAGTGACCTCAGAGCACGAGCCAAACAAACAAAAAATCTGAATAATTAAACTTAGATTTAATCTGTCAAGTATACTAACGTCATTAATTGACCCAAACCTAGATAAACAGAACAAGGTACCCCAGGGATAACAGTGCAATCCTATTCTAAAATTCGTATCAACAATAGGGTTTGTAACTTTGATGTTGGATCAGGATATCTTAATGGTGTAACAGTTTAAAGTTTCATTTCCTCAACAATTAATGTCCTACATGATCTAAATTGGTTCAGAAGATTGCAGAACCAGGAATATCAGCTCCTCTATGGATTTCTGGTATCTAATCTCAACTATGGGCTCACTCTGCTCTGATATCTTCATACAAGTCCTCAAGCGGCTCTCTCTTTCAGACTCTTCAGCTGCTATTCCACAGGCCTCCACCTACCCCTATGCCCAGCCCTGCCAGGCCCCCGTCCCATCCCCTTCTCGGCCTCCTTCTCTGCCCAGAGAAAACTGGGGCTCTCAGCCATGAACTAACTTCCTCTAGTTCAGCTGCCTTCCCACACAGGGAGTCTGCACAGACTCCCATCCTAATCCCCTCCTAATCAACTTGAGAGGAAGCAATGTCCTTTCTTCTCTGCAAAACTAATTCCTCCATTTGTGCTATGGATCCCTGATTGCTTCTTCGTGATGTATCTTCAGGCTCTTCCTTTTCTTACCGTTAGCCTATATTTACTCATTCACTGTACAGATAGTTATTAAATGCCCACTGCTCAAGCACTGCCTGAAGGGCTATGAACATCTCTCCATCTTTTTTTTTTAAGAGTCCTATCCAGACACTTTTATTTCCCTCTGTCCTATTATTTCTCTCTCCCTTTCAAACCAAGCTTCATGAAAGAATAGTAAAATGTTATTTCTACTTTCTCATCTCCCATTTGCTCCTGAATGCACTAAAATCTGGCTTCCTCCTCACAAAACTCCCCTGAAATAAATCACACTCACCAACTTCCTCCTTGTTACTAAAACCAATGAATATTTTTCAGATTTTTCTTACTTGCCTCAGTAGCATTTAATTCTACTAACTGCTTCCTCCTCATTGAAACTCTCCTCTTATTTCCCCTCATAACCTGCAAGATATTTTGTTAATAACTCCAATCTAAACCCAAACCCCTCTGATGTGCTTTCCCCTACCTGTATACACACACACACACACACACACACAGAGGAACAGCCAAGAGAAAGGCAGTATTCTCTGATTTTTTAGCACTTACCACAATTTGTAATTATATTTTACTAGTATCAACTTATTTAATACCTACTCTCCTAACTGTAAAACTCCAAAGAAAGAGATTTGAGTCTGTTTTGTTCACTTCTGTATCTCCAGCATCTAGCAGTTCCTGATACATTTTGGATATCCAATAATACTTATTGAATGAATGGATGCCTAGGGCAAAAGGCCTGGAGAACTTCATGCAAATTAAGTCACATTAGCTAGGCCTCAGGGGTTTATCACCAGGTTCAATGAGAAGGCATAGAACTTGACCCCTTCCTAACATCTCAGCCCATTCTCACTTCCATTATATTTCCCAGGAAAGGAAACCTACTCAGAGCACAGGGCAGGTCTTTGAAAAAGAGTCTCCTGGGGGTATTGAAGACATAAATTGTTGGCACTGGCCCCTTCCATCAGGGCCCCAGGAGCCTATCTATCTGTCCACCATATGGCTCTAAGTTTTTAGGAAAAACTTTGACCCAGCCATAAACTTACAGCAAAAACTGAGGAAGCCAACCTAGATTAAAGGTAAAGCTACTATTCTTCCCACACAGTGAATATGTCCTAGACAAGCTGCAAAGCACTTAGAAAATCAGGCCAGAGGATGGGGGGAAATTCTTAGACTAGAGTTAGAGAACTCTCAGAAGAGGAGGTCTCTGTAGGTATTGTGAAATCCTGAAAGAAGCAATGAGAACCAGGTGGGGGGGTGGGGGGAACAATCAGCACTCAAGGGGCCAGGATACCCACACCGGCAGGGCAGGAAGAGACTCTGGAAGGGTCAGAATGAAAGTCCCATTTGGCAGTGCTGCCAACTCTGATCTGCTCTGGGGCTGGCTTAGCTCACATAGACATGAGTGGGAAGGTCCCTCAGACATGCACTCACCTAGGAACACCCTGAGGGAAGGACCTGTACCCAACATCCAGCACCCAGTCCTGGGTAGGCCCAGAGGCGAGGCTCAGGGATTATGAATGAGTAAGAAAAAGAACTAAGGAAGCTTCTAGCACCATCTGAGAAAGAATGGACACTCTGGAAACTCAAGCTGTTTTCTGAAGCTTTGGCTTCCTTATAGCTGACTCTTGATTTTCATGAATTTCTGCACTGCCCAATGGGGATGAACAGTAAGACCACTCAATTTATTTGCAGACAAAAAGGAAGAGAGAAGCAGCTTCGACCAGCATGGCTTGGGGTCAGGCTAATGCCTAAAGTCAATAGCGATCTGGCTCTAGACATCCAAGTGACCCTAGAGGAACCCATAAACTAGCTTCTTTTTCTCGTCCGCTCAAAGCCCCAGTCTGGGTCCCTCACTTACTTAGTCTCTGCTCTTCCAACAGGTTCCTCCACTGCATTGTCAGTGCCCCTGCATTCATACTGTATGGGGATGTCTGTCGCCAGTGCCAAGGGCAGGAGGCTAAGGCCATCTAGCCACCAGGCCTCTCTCAGGGCCACCTGAGCACCAACAATACCCAGGCTGTGCTGTAGCTCAGGCAGTGTCAGTGGTCGCAGCCATGTAGCCAACTCCTCCCCTACTTGCTGCCCACCCCACCGGGCCTGCACAAAAGGGCAGGCTGGGCGTGGGGGCCCACGATGGAACTTCTGCTTCTGGGGACAGCACTCAATATGGGAGGCACCCTCTAACAAAGAGGTATCTGGGGGGAAGGCCTGCTCAATGGCATCTAGCAGGTCCAGCTGGAACTGGGATTGGACCCAGGGGGCCCGGTGGGACAGCTGCTCCAGGAAGGGCAGCAGATCAAGGCGACCGACAAGCAGTGCACGATATGGAGGCAGCAGACGCAGCACGGCATGCAGGTAGTGCCAAGCTGCGGGGCTGCCGTCCTGCAGCACAGCTGAGAACAGAGTTTGGAGCTCCGCCACCAGGAGCTCCAGCACCGTGGGCTGCTGTGACTGGCTCACTGCCTTCAGGAACTTCCTCTGCTGCCTCTGATGGTCCTGGGGCTGCTCTTCTGCTTCTGGAACACAGACGGAGTGCTGGGATTCATGGTCTTCAGATGCCGCGTCTTCAGGAGACGGACCTGCCTTCTGCTCTGAGACCAAGAGGAGCTGGGCATTCAACTGCTGTCGAACTGACCTCGCCCACTGTTCAGGCTCTGATTGCCAGTTCCAGGCTCCTGGCTGCTGGGTCTCACCTGCTTGGCCCAGCCCAGGAGAGGAGCAAGAGAAGGGGCCTTAGGCTCTGGGCCAGGGATGGTCAGGGTCTAAGGTGCTGGGGGAAGGGGAAAGAGTTAGGACAGGGAAATGGATGGAGCTGCAGGCAGAGCCAGAACAGCAGAAGACAACTCTCCCTACAGCTTCCCAAAAGCCTCTGGTAAGAAGCAGGCCCAAAACAGGCGGGGGCCCTCTTTGCACAAGAGTTCCTTCCCACCACCCAGGGTACAGTTCCCCTCACCTGTAAGGGGTACAGGAAGCAATGGAAGGGAAGAGAGACTTATGTGCTGGTGAGGTTCCATCCCAATTGCCTGTTGGAGAAATTGGTGAACTGGGACTTGGGTCCCAAGCACAGGCTCACGCTACTCACAGCTGCCCACACAGAGAGACTGGCACACACAGGAGTGATCACTTGCAGAGGCAAACTGACACACCGGTAGAGGGCTCACTCAGAGAACCGTGGTAACAGCAAGGAACCGTCACTGGGAGTGGAGCCTGGCAATGGCCTGAAGGGGAGAGACAGGTCGTCACTCAGCGGCCGCAAAGCCCCAGTCCCATCTGCCCATGGGCTGTCGGGGGCTGTTGAGGGCAGAAAGCACAGAGCACTACTTGGTCGGGATGAGGTTGGGGGGATTGTGGAGAGGAAAAAGTGGCAAAGGACCAAGCGCGGAGGAGGAGGAGGAAGGGTAGGAGGAACGGAAGGAGGAAAGGGAGGAGGAAGAAAGGGAAGGGGAGGAGGAGAGGGGGAAGGGGAGTGGGGAGGTCCACGGGAGTGCGGGAGGAGGGGATCTTCCTGGGGGCAGTGGAGAGGGTGGTCTAGGGGCAAAGGGCAGCGGATTGCAAGCTGTGGCCTGACCCGCAGCTCCATCCCTTTCCAGCTGTTAAACGGTTACACGGTCCCAAGAGGCCTGAGCCCCCACCCCAGAACGCCGGCGGAACAGCCGAGGAGCCGGAAAGGGGAGGGGTCGGCGTCCGTGTTGGGCCAGGGTCGCACAAGGGCGGGGCGAGGGGCTAGAAGGAAGGCAGGGAAGGGCTGCCTTCGGCCCAGGTCTAACCTGCTGGCTGCCCATATATATATATACCTTGGGAATAGGCGATCAGCCTGGCTGGGTATGAAAACGAATGACGCGGTTGATCTGGGGAAGTAGCAACCCTGAGGGAATCGTGGGAAGGTGTAATCCGTGTGCCTATTTAACCATTCACTGAGCGTCTAAGCTAGCGCCAGGTACCAAAAAGCTATGTCTTTGGGACCCTACCCGAACACCATCCATATATCCACCAACCCCACCTCACCGACCCCCTCAAGAAAACCCATAATAAGACAAAATCTTTGATCATAGCAAGCCCAAAATCGAGGGTGGGAAGTTCTGAATGATGAAAGAAAGAGAGCGAGGGAGAGAAAGAGGAAGGAAGGAAGGAAGGAAGGAAGGAAGGAAGGAAGGAAGGAAGGAAGGAAGGGAGGGAGGGAGGGAGGAAGGGAGGGATGGAGGAAGGAAGGAAGGAAGGAAGGAAGGAGGGAAGGAAGGAAGGGAGAAGGGAGGGAGGAAGGAAGGAAGGAAGGAAGGAAGGAAGGAAAGGGAAAGAGGGAGAAAAAAAAGAAAAGAAAGAAGAAAGAGAGAAAGGGAAAGAAATTCAGCATATGATAGAGTCCCATCTCTGTTTTGCAATCCAGATTTGTACATCCATCTGCTTAGTTACTGGCTCTACTTAGATATCTGATAAAGATCTCAAACTTAAAATCTTAAAATGTCCAAACCAGCCTCCTAACTACCACCCCTCTCCCAAGGGCAAAAGAAACCTGCTCTTTTCACTGCCTTCCCCAAAATGACGTCCATTTTTTCCGGTTACTTGGGTCAAAACCTTGGAGTCACCTTTGATTTTTCCCTCTCCCTCCCTCCCTTCCCACTTCACTCTACATCCCTTGTTGACTCCTTTAGCAAATTCTATTGGCTATAGCTTCAAAATCTATCCAGAATCCAACTATTTCTCACCACCTTAAGTGCTACAACCTTAGCCTATGTCACTCTCTCTTCTCACCTGGATTATTCCAGAGCCTTCTTAATGGGACTCCCTCCTTCCACCCTTGCCCCTACTATCTGTTCTTTCCAGAGTAGCCAGTGACCCTTTTCAAATACAGGCAGCTCGTCACTCCTCTGCTCAAAACTCACTAATGCCTTATCATCTCATTCCCTCAGGTGAAAGCCAAAGCCCCAGATGGTCTCCAAGTTGCTATGTGATCAGCTGCCTATTACCTTTGGGACCTTCTCTTTCTACACTCTCATTATTCACTCCACTTGAGATGTGCTTGGATCACACCAAGCATGCTCCCACCCCAGAGCATATGTACATATGTACATCTCTACTGTGTACCAATTAGGACATGTACAAGTTTTCTGTGCTTGTGTAACAAATTACCATAAACTAAGCAGCTTAAAGACAAACACCCATTTAGTATGTCACAGTTCTGTAGATCGATGTCCAGCATGGCTTGGCTGGGTTCTCTGCTCAGGGTATCATAAACCTGAAATCAAGATGTTGGCTGGGTTGAGTTCTCATCTGGAGGCTCTGGGGAGAAATCCCCTTCCAAGCTCATTCTTGTTGACAGGATTCAGATCATTGCAGTTGTAGGACTAGGTCCTGGTTTCCTTCCTGGCCATCAGCTGGGGGCCATGCTCAGGTCCTAGAAGCTACCCACCTTCCTTGCCTTATGGCCCATTCATCTTCAGGCCAGCAACAGTGCCTCAACCCCTTCTCAAGCTTGGAATCTTTCTGCATCCAGCCAGAGAAATCTCCCTGCTTTTAAAAAGTGCATGTGGTTAGGTCAGACCCACCCAGATAATATCCCTTTCTTATAGTCAGGTATGCCATATAATATAAGCTGATCACATAAGTAAAATCTATCATACTCATAGTCCTAGGGATTATGTAGGATATGCACACAGGGAGTGAGAAATTCAGGACCATCTTGAAATTCTGCCTACCACATATGTTGTAATAACAAAAGGATCCCAAAATACAGTGGTTTGAACCTGATAGAAGTTCTTTTTTCCTCTTACATAACTGTCCAAGTAGAAATGCTTGAGGGCTAATACAGCAGCCTTTTAGTTGTTCTGCCTTCTCCAAGGAAGTTCTGTATCTTCAATGTCCAGGCAGGCTAGGTCTGCTAGGTCCCATCCCAGTCAGTGGAGGAAAGACGGGGAGGCACAGCCTTACTCTTAAGGGCACAATCTGGCAATGCACACATTATTCTATCACACGTACACACCTAGCTGAAAGGAAAGCTGCAAAATCTAATCTTTATTTTCAGTGGCCATGTGGCCAGATAAAAGTAAGGGGTTCTATTAGTAAAGGAAGAAGGGAACAATGGATACTGAGGGACAACTAGAGGCTTATACCACAGCGAACACTCTTCTTCCAGATGTCCACAAGCCTTATTCCCTCATTTCAAGTCTCTGCTCAAAGAGACCTCATAAATGACTTCTCTGACTACCCAGCATAAAATAACAACACTGTTCCCACCTTCCTCATCCTTCCTACCCTGCATTATTTTTCTCCACAGCATTTAATGCCATCTCATATAAATCTTTATTTGCTTATTGTCTATTTCCCCTGACTAGAAACATAAGCTCCATGGTGGCAGAGATTCTGATTGCTCTCTGCTCTATCCCCATCCCCTAGTGCTGGCACCAAGAGTAGGTAATTAGAAAATATTTGTGGAACAAATGCATAAATGTATAGCAATCTTCATTGATGAGAAAGGGGATCACCTCTGGAGTCAGACTGTCTGGATTAAAAACCTGACTCCACCACTCACTAGTTGTAGGGTATTTTGCCTCAGTTTTTCTTTCTTTCTTTCTTTCTTTCTTTCTTTCTTTCTTTCTTTCTTTCTTTCTTTCTTTCTTTCTTTCTTTCTTTCTTCTTTCTTTCTTTCTTTCTTTTCTTTCTTTCTCTTTCTTTCTTTCTTTCTTTCTTTCTTTCTTTCTTTCTTTTTCTCTTTCTTTCTTTCTTTCTTCCTTTTCTTTTCCTTTCTTTCTTTCCTTCTTTTCTTTCTTTCTTTCTTTCCTTCTTTTCTTTCTTTCTTTCTTTCTTTCTTTCCTTTCTTTCTTCTTTCTTTCTTTTTGTAAAATGAAAGTAATAGTATCTACCTTGCAGGGTTGCTGTAAGGATTAAATGAGTTAATGCCTGTAAAATGCTTAGAATAGAGCCTGGTCAATAATAAACACTTGATATAGTTGATATGTGTAAGCTATGTGTTTTTGCTGTTTGTGGCACCCTACCAAATGCTGTTTACATAAAGGTGAACAAGTGCTCAGTGAATAGTAGTGCTCAGTGAGGGCAGGAATAAGGGCAGCCCTTTCTGGAAAGGGCAAAGAGTCACAGCAGGTCTTGAAGTTTATGGCCCTAAAACAACGGTTCTCTAGACAGACAAGGACAGAAGGGAATCTGTTCAGTAGCCTCTACTGAACCCTCAATACCACTTAAAAATTGAATTATATTTTTTGCGTCAGTCCACTCTTCCATTCTGTGCAAATACTATTTCAAACCTGTACTCTCTCATCTTCCATTTTTTTGTTTTACTCTCCAATGATAACTTCACTTCCACTCCTATTAAAAAAAATTAGAGGAAACAGAAACAAGAGGATACACACACAATATATAGATAGATAGGTAAGTAGGTAGATAGATTTATTTTAAAGAACTGGCTCACATGATTGTGGGGGCTAGCAAGTCCAAAATCTGTAGGATAGGTTGCTAGAAACTCAGGCAGGGATTAATGCTGCAGTCTTGAGGCAGAATTTCTTCTTTGAGAAATCTCACTTTCTGCTCTTATGGTCTCCAACTGATTGAATGAATCCCACCCTCATTATTAAGAGTAGTTTTGTTACTTAAAGTTAACCAATTGTAGATGTTAACCACATCTATCAAATACCTTCACCGCAACACCTAGATTAGTGTTTGATTAAATAACGGTACTATAATCTAGCCGAGTTGACACATAACACTAACCATCACACATGATATTTAAAAGAAACTCTCTCAATACCAATAAAAAAAACTTAGATCTGCTTTATCCATTCCTCCATCCTTCCTGTTACCAATAAGAGATGTTCCTCCTCTCTCTAAAGCCAAGCTCTAGACCTTTGCTCTGGAACCCTCTCTCCTGCCTTCACTTACTCAACAAATATTTATTGAGCATCAACTGTGTTGGGTACTATTTTAGATGTTTGGTTATATCAGTCTACAGAGCAATAACATTGACAAAATTCCTGATTTATGACTTAGAGAATGTAAATTCTAGTGG